GTTTCGTCGGAACGAATTTACGGAAAATTAACTAACGACTGGAGACGTAACAGAATGTTCAAAGTACTGCAACATGATCAATGAGACAGGTGAGTTTAAATTTGATGACAAGGAATCCATTTTTTTAGAAAATACTGTTTGGATACAGCTTGAATAGGTAGTGAAAGAATCTATTACAAATGTACGGTGTTTTGACAAGCTTATGTCAACATCAAGGTTCAAGTAGTTTACATAGACTCAGGAATATATATAAAGTATGGAACAAAGAGGTCACATAGCTGGAGGTGTTGGTTTAGAGCAGGGCTGTTTTGCTCAAGTAAGATAGCTTCCTACATTTTGCATTTGTTGATGTTTGGTTTTTGTTTAAAATTACAGTGTTTTGTATAGATATACTGTGGTTTTTTTAGTGGTAATGGTGATAAACGTGGGAGAATTTTATTATGTTTGGTGAATCTGGTTTCGGATTGTTGTGGAATATTCATAGTTCTGCAACATAACAAGCTGAAGGTGAGTTTGTTATGGAATGCAACAATTTATAAGCATCTTTTCAAAATGTTAGTATTCACATGATATTGTGTTGGCTTCATAATCCAGTAAATATAATCATACCCTGACTCCTGATAATATGATACTAAATTCATTCTTCTTTTTATTTTGTAGATGGAAATCAGTTTCCACCACATATTGAGAAGGACAATAAAATATATGTCTTTAGTACTGACCTGTGCAGGTAAGGTGTTTATGTATTACTGACCAGAAGTGTTGAGATACATATTTAGTATTGACTACCACTGCTGAGATACATATTTAGTACTGACCATCACTGCTGAGATACATATTTAGTACTGACCACCACTACTGAGATACATATTAACTACTGACTACCATTGCTGAGATACATATTTGATACTGACCAGCACTTCTGAGATACGTATTTATTACTGATGAGCACTGCTGAGAAACATTTAACATTGATTACTGTAGGTGAAATACATATCTAGTCATTAATGTTATTGTTATCTAATCAAAAACACTTTAGGTGTGAAAAAAAGGTGCAGACAAAAAAATATTGAGTATACGACTTAAAGGAATGAAATCAAAATTGGCAGCCAAAGTTAAACAAAAAATGCACCCTCGCTAACTAATGAACGAATATTTGCTGTAAAATTCTTATCAATGCTATAAGTGTAGCTACCAGTTTGGCCACCAATTTGGATTTCATTCCTTTAAGTTGTATGCTCAATCCTTTTTTGGATGCATCTTTTTTTTTCACATATAAGGTGTTTTTGATTAGATATCATGACTTTTTCTCAATACACACCAACAAACTACAGAAAATAAGAAAATGACACTCAATAGTAACCAACATTAGCTTTGGAATCACAACCCTATTATTCGGAATAGACCTATACTTTATAGAACCAACTAAGTTCTGTAAAATATATGATGGAAGTTCTTCCTCTTTAAAACTGTGTTAAGAACTTCTTTTATAGTAATGCCATGGAATCTAGATTAACAGTTTCTTGTCATCACCCGCATGCACTTGGTATTTCTTAATGGATTGCCTTGAAATTTGGTAGGTGAAGTAAGAATGAAGTAAAACACATCCACTGAAAATATGTGATAGTTTGGATTACCACCATCCGAGTTATAGAAGGTGGAAAATTGCTAAACTGTCATTCCTGTTAATAACACACAGTGTGTCCTGCAGGTTGTTTTGGCTGCACGACACAGTAACGTGTGTCTTGATGAAATTATTGTTTATGGTTTTATATTAGTGTTTTTAACAGTCTTATTATGTGGTATGATGAGAGATGTCAACAATTAATTTTTATAATAAGTATTTTCAGTAATATTCATTGTAAAAAGAAATTTATATTAAACAAAAAGTATGACTAATTCCAATTATTTCTTTGAAATAACAAAACAATTTCAGGTCGTTATACCTTGAATACGAAAAAAACGTTTTTATTCGAGGTATCTCAGCTTATCGATTTACCACCCCAACAAAACTTTTTGGTAATCCCAGCACGAATCCAAGCAACAAATGCTTTTGTACAGATCCCCAAAGCTGTTTACATGATGGAACTATTGAGTTATCAGCATGCCAGCAAGGTGAATGTGATTATTATTATTTCTATATTTTGTTTCAGAAGTTGAAAATGTTAACATGTTTTTTTTGTCATTATTCTAATCTGAAGTTTGTAAAGAAGCAAGTAATAATTCAAACATGACATGAAGTAATAATTTATGTTCTAATTACTAACCAATAATATAGACAAATGTTTATGTTTTTGAGACATTCCAGTCCGAGTTACTTTTCTGTTCTCGTTTTTAATACACTTGTTTAATTATCATGTTTTGATGTGCTACTTACCTTAGGTGTTTCAGATATGTTATGATGTGTGTAATAGCTATTCATTCTTTAATTTAATTTTAAATTAAAACCAGTATGAAAGTCTAATAATATCAGTTTCTTTATTGAGTTATAAATAGTTAATTTTCCTAAATTTTACTTTGAAATGAGAACTATAGTGTGATCTGATTGGATATTCAACATGTTGATTATTATTACTTATATATATTCACTTGAATAACAAGGGATTTATCTCTGGTTATAACTGTCATGAAAAACTTTTAAGATAATAAACTGTGATAAGAAAGGTTTATATCAGGTTACTAAGTAATATTCATATCAATTTAAAAATTAAATATTAATAATTCATTAAGGGCTAATAAATAATATTGATAACTTATTAAAGATTAATAAATAATAGTGATAGGTTATTAGAGATTAATAAATAATAGTGACAGGTTATTAAAGGTTAACAAATAATGTTCATAATTTATTATTAACTTGAATTAATTATGTGTCAGTTTTTATCAATCCATATTCTGAGACTCATGAATATTTACATGATTACTCATAAGTCTATTAATGAAATGAACGTACTTTACTTTGAGTTAAAATATAGAACTCAACTTTTGGTTCGCTTCCTAGGTTCTCCAGTAGTTGCGTCTACACCTCACTTTTATCAAGGGTCCTCAAAGTACCGAGAAGATGTGATTGGATTCAAACCTGAGAAAACTAAACATGAAACGTACCTGGATGTTGAACCAGTAAGGACTTACTTTTATTGATGTTGGAACAGTAACGACTCACTTGTACGGATGTTGAACCAGTAAGGACTTGCTTGTATGAATGTTGAACCAGTAAGGACTCACTTGTATGGATGTTGAACCCGTAAGGACTTACTTTTATTGATGTTGGAACAGTAACGACTCACTTGTACGGATGTTGAACCAGTAAGGACTTGCTTGTATGAATGTTGAACCAATAATGACTGACTTGTATGAATGTTGAACCAGTAAGGACTCACTTGTATGGATGTTGAACCCGTAAGGACTTACTTTTATTGATGTTGGAACATTAACGACTCACTTGTACGGATGTTGAACCAGTAAAGACTTGCTTGTATGAATGTGGAACCAGTAAGGACTCACTTGTATGAATGTGGAACCAGTAAGGACTCACTTGTATGAATGTG